ACCTCCTCTGAGCTAATCTTGCCAAGAAAACCCCATGATCACCATAAGCCAGGGACAATTTGAAGGCACACAACATACACATATAACCTCCAAGCTAAGGAACGTGGTTCTCCTTTAGACAAATCTTCAAGGGTATTCTCTCTCTCAATGTGCAGAATTATTTGTTAAAAAAGCCATGCCCAAGCAACACATCAACTTTGGTTGCGTCTACATTGCAGAAGTTTATTAAAGCAGTTTGACACCACTTTAACGGCCCTGGCTCAAGGCTATGGAATTCTGGGATTTGCAGTTTTGTGAGATATTTAGCCTTTTCTGTCAGAGAGCTCTGGTACGATAAAGCAAACTGCAGATCCTAGGAGCCCATAGGATGGAGCCATGGCAGTTAAAGCGGTGTCAAATTGCATTATTTCTGCAGTGCAGATTCAGGCTGCATCCATACTGTAGGACTGGCTCCCTTCTCCTTCTCCCCTCGTTCTCATCCTCCTCTACCTGGTGTATAAGACAACCCCTGCCTTTTGAGACCCTTTTCCAGGGTTAAAAAGCTATCTTATATGCTGGAAAATACTGTAGATTCTGCAGCACAACTCTATGGTCAACTCCTGGCAGAGCTGCGCTGGAAGGCGTAGAAATTGCTAGAGAGAACGTATTAATCAAAACCGCAAATAATCAAATCTGCAAAAGTCGAAGCCGCAAATGTGGTGGACCAACTGTATTACTGTTAAAAGGGGGGATGAGGATGTGTGTGCGAGATCCATGTCTGACTTCTGCACACCATGCTTAATTCAATTTGCCTTTATTCTACTTCGACTCCGTCATATTTTTTCTAAGCAAAAAGCCTGGAAAGCACCAGGCTGGCCATGTAGGGAAGGTTTTCCGTTCTCTAGTCATCTTGGCTGCCCTTGTGTGCCTCTTTTCCATCTCTCTCCATCCCTTTGGAGATGGCAGAGACAAGAACTTCGCAGAATGCAATCATACTCACAAACCTCCCAAAATTGCTAGCAGGCCAGAAAAGTTACTTGCCAGCTGTAAATTCACAAGAGGAGTTCCTGTTCTGCATTAAAAGCAGATTGTCAAAATACTGCCCCTGAGGTTAGAAGCATCATGCGTTCGTTGCAGAAGACGTGAAACAATTCTTTGCTAGTCCACTTGCTTCTGCATCAGTTAACAAAGGCTTCAACAAAAAAAGCTCATTTTTTATTTTTACAAAAGGTGTATCCACACTGCCGACTTAAAGCAGTTTGATGCCACTTTAACTGCCCTGACTCTAGCCTACAGAATCCTGGGATTTCTAGTTTGGGGAGGCTCTCTTGTTGAAGTTATTCAACAGAGCTGGAGGGGCATCTAATTGTTTATTCCTGCATGGCTGGAGGCTAGACTAAATAGCCTTTATGGTCCCTTCCAACTCTATGATTCTAAGTGCTTCTTCGCCTTAGTTAAACTGTGGAATTTGCTACCACAAGATGTAGCGATGGCTGCCAACATGGATGGTTTTAATAAGGGATTAGACAATTTCATGGGGGAAAGGGGTTACCTGCGGTGTCTATTCATGATGGATACACCTTCTTTCCAGCAGCAAAGGCAGCCTGCCTCTCACTATTAAAATATTTATATTCTGCCTGGTGTCATAGGATCTCGGGGCTGCGAATGAGCAAACTCCATTTAAACTGTTTAAAACAATTTAACATTTAAAGCAACAAGAGTAATTTAGATAGACTGAGGTTTAGGTCTTACTACAGGTTGAGTTTCCCTTATCCAAAATACTTGGGACCAGAGTATTTTGGAATATTTGCATATACATAATAAGGTATTTTGGAGAAGACCCAAGTCTAAACATGAAATCCATTTATGTTTTGTATATACCTTGTTGTTGGGTGCCTTCAAGTCTTTTCGGACTTATGGCAACCCTATCATGGGGCTTTCTTGGCACGTTTTGTTCAAAGAAGGCTTGCCATTGCCTTTTTGTTAGGCTGAGAGTGTGTGACTTGGGTCAAGGTGATCCAGTGGGTTTCCATGGCTGAGCAGGGAATCGAACCCAGGTCTCCAGAGCTGTAGTCCAACGCTCAAACCACTATGCCACACTGGCTCCTAAAGGAATTTTTATTTTTAATAATATTTATATTTTATGTTATTTTTACATTATATTATTATATTATATTACAATTATATCAAAATATAATAATTATATCAAATTATATCAAAATATAATAATATTTTATATCAACTATATCAAAATATAATAATATTTTAAAATAATTTTGTGCATGAAACAAAGTTTGTGTACACCGAACCATTAGAAAGCAAAGGTGTCTCCATCTCACCCATCCATGAGGACCATTTTAGATTTAGGAATATTTTAGATTTTGGAATTCCAGATATGGGAGACTCAGCCTGTAGTTAGTTTTAACGGCAGCACAACCACTGAATGAATAAATGGGTGGTGGGTCAACACTTATGTATTTCCCTCTGATTGAATGGGTCTACTCTAGTTGGGAAACCAAACAGGATTCAATCAAACCTAAACCAGTTGTTGGGAAACTTGAATGTGAGAATACTATGATGCTTAGGTATATATTCCTTGTGTTGCTTCCAATAGATAAATCGCTAAGCAGTGTGTGAACAGAGCGATGGTCTTCATAGGACTTTTTCTGATCCAGCTTGGCTCACATTCTACTCTTCTGATCTTCCCTTCCTCAGTATATGGCCAGGATGGAAACTGAGCAGGTGGCAAAGGAGCGAGTGAGAATCCTGACCCTCCTTCACCAGCTTAATCACTCC